AAGAAGGCCTAGTATCTCATCACTCTTGGCAACAATACAATGCATGACATCATGCAAATATAAGTCAAGAGTTTTAGTTAGAGCTTTTTTTAATTACCCTTTCATCTCATCTGTCCTCCTGCCCGTGACTAGGAAACCAATCTCTGTGTGTTACATTAATGAATACCTAAGTTCCTATAATGAGCCTGACCAGCTCTAACTATGAACAGGTTTTGGCTCAGCCCACCTAAATGGGCATATTAGAAATGTATGATGTATTTGTTTATTAATTAAAAAACACAGGTACCATTTCTAAATGTTGACTGGGTTGGCAGCCTACAGATGCACAATTTCTTCCACTACATGGATACCGTCCTCTGACTCTTTGAGTTTGACAACTGAGTCAATCTGTTGTTCATTTTGATTTTGTTTTTTTAAACTGTAGTTTTCTAACCTGCTGTCTCTGATTTTGAGCTGCCATGGATTACAGATGAAAAGTAGATTCTAGCATATCTAACAATATTAATAAATGAATATACCTCAAACGTGCACTATGAAAAAATGTCTCAGCCTCTTTCTTCTCATAAGTCATGACACTGCTTTCCTTAAGTTGCCTTTACAGTTTAACAGTATCTGTATCAGTCTCAGCAATACTGTATTTACTTGGTATTGGATCATTACTAAAATTTGCAGTGTTGCACATCACTGATCATTATGCAAACAGGACTAAATGTATTTTGTATGTGTAACTTATTTTTAGTTAAGTTTATCAGCTGCATGATCAAACTTCTCCCCTACATTGTAAAATAAAAAGATGTACATATATCTGCACATTCTCCTCATATTGTGGCCTAGTTGTCATGGACAGTCCTGCATTCAGCATTAGGCTATAACAAAAACAAAGAAAATCCACAGGTGATGGCGCTGTGCCAAACATCATGTTTAAATTAAGGAGAAAAGATTTATCATGTTGTTGATGTTGTTGGCTTCTGTCTGGATCTCTTCATCAACACTTCCGCTTCCATCTCTTATTGGAGAAGCTAAGATGTACAGAGAGGAGGGAAGGAAAATAAAAGCTTTGTAGCCTTAGTGATGAGAACAGGGGTTAATGGTCTCATCATGCCATCTCATGTGAGCTTTGACTGTGGTATGATTGTTAAACATTTGTGTTGACAGAGATGCTCACAACCCGTATAATGACTACAGCAACTACAGAAAAAATGCACATCTAACATATTCAACCTCAAATAAGCAAACAACACCAGAAGTCTTAAGATTTCAGGTTTAAGTCCTGTGTTCCAGGAACCAAGGCTCTAAGGCTGTAGTGGCACATGTCCATCCAAACAAGGCAGATGAAAAAAATATACTATGGTCTGATGACGTTTTCCTTCTGCTCAGGCTACAGATGGGTATGACTCAAATTTGGCATCAACAACATGACCTCATGTGTCCTTGTGTCAACAGTCAGGCTGCTTGGTAGTGGTGTAATGGTGTGGAAAATGTTTTCTTGGCAAACCATGAGCCCTTAAGACCATCAGTCATGGACTGAATGCGTGTGAATAATGAAGCCAGCCATGTGTGCAGTATCTCCTTACAGCCATCTTCTTACAGCTACTTCTAGCAATGACAATGTGGCATGCCAAAAGCATCCACAGAAGTTTCAAAATGATAGTGCTTTTATTGAACTTCAGTGGCAACATCATTTAAAGTTCAGCCCAATGTTAGTATGACATTCACAATATAGTGTTTGCTGAGACATTGTGTAAGAAGTTCAAAAAAAATTTATTGGAGCTTTACTTCCTTCATCTCTGAGGGATTATTTTCGTGTGCATGAAATAACCATAAATCAACTTTTTTTCATTTTTATTTATTCATTTATTTCTTGGAAGTGAAAACATATTTTGGATTTCCAAATCTGATGCCTGTTCATTGTACGTTTTAATAAGATCGAACAGATGTGATGTAGCATGATCCTGAATTATTTGATTCTTCACAGTAGTTGTTGGATTGTGTGATGGACCGAGCTGAAAAAGCAGGAGGAGTCAGGAATTATTAGAAAATTAGGGTTTTCATTTATTTAACCCCAAAAATTATATTTACAAAAGTAATAAATGTTGAACTCATATAAGAGGTCAAAGAAACTAAACTAAACTCAGGCAAAAACTGAACTTAACAAACCAAATGACTGCCCAAACAAACACAACTGACCTATACAAGAAATGACACACAGGGATATATATATATATAATGTCTGATCAGACCACTATGACACACAAGGGGTAACTACACAAAACACAATCGCAAACAACAAAAGATGCAGTACAGTCTGGTTTGTTAATAAACTAAACACTAAAGAAGACAATCAAAACTACTGAACCCTAATCTCAAATATTTAATTAAGTACAAATACTTTGTTTTTAATTAAAGAAAGCACACATTCTCCCCCTCAGCAGGAAGTGGTGGTATGGTCCAACTAGCCCTCTTGTATTTAACAGCTTCAAACCCAAGCCACTGCCTTTTGTCTGACAACTCCCAGGGATCATGGCAGGTAAGAAATAAAAACAAACAAACAAAGTAATGAACTATTATGAATACATAAGTAAACTAAATGTGCACGCTTACAAATAGAAGAAATGTCCATCCATCTTCTTGGTCGTGGGGTCAGCAGTCTAAGCAGAGAAGCCCAGACCTCGATCTCCCCAGCCACCTCCTCCAGCTTATCCGGGGGAACACCAAGGCATTCCCAGGCCAGCCGAGAGATATAATTTCTCCAGTGTTTCCTGGGTCTGCCCCGGGGCCTCCTCCCGGTGGGACATGCCCGGAACACCTCACCCAGGAGGCATCCTTGTCAGATGCCTGAACCACTTCAGCTGGCTCATTTCGAAGAAGAAATGTATCCAAACCAAACAATAAACTTATTGAAACTTAAGTGTGTTATTGTGTTCAAATAAAAAAATAAAAATACATAGAAGTTACCGACTTTAAAGTGTGGCCATGGGTTTGGCTATTACAGATTGGTTGTGACAACTGCATATTCATATGGTCTAACCTACTCTGGAGAAAGTTTATTTACACAAGATTAAAGGAAGAAGTTAAGCATCTAATATAAAAACTGTTTCATTCTTGCACAAAGAATGTATTTTGATTGGTGCACTTCGATAACATAGCTGCAGTACGAACAAAAGAAATGCAATCACAGACTTTTGATATGACACAAACAGGATAAATGCGATGTACTGGTACCATCTCTGAATATATAGGATAAGATTATATCATATATATGTACTAAGTTTTAATCGCATTCTTGATCTTGTCCTGACGTATGGCATAGAAACTGAACATTTAACAATAGTTCCCGAAAAACATCTTTTATCTTACCATTTCTTAATTACATTTAAACTTAACAGATTTTTTCCTATCCAGGGACTGAAGACAGTATTTACTGTAGATGGTGGTGATGGTGGTGGTGATGGTGCTATTTACTGTACAGTGCTAGGTGCCAACATATTGATCCTCATGGTGTATGACTCTGGATACTGTGGCTTCATAAAGGCCTCAATGAAGCTTGACATTTTGTTAGGATCAGATAAGCCGGAAACATACCTTAGTTATGCTGCAAAAGGCTTATGTTCGATTTTGTGCTTGAGTGGGGGAGCGGAAAGGAAGTCCACAGGGAGTCGCAAGCTGCTTGTCTACGTATAGTGTTTGCTATCAGTGGAGGCAGAAATAAAAGTATGTGGTACAGCCAGTCTGTGGACTACTCCTGGTTGTGCCGTTAGTGGTCAATCGGCCAACCATGGAGAGGAATGGATTTACAAATAGCTGAAGTGAAAAAAAGCGTTAAAAACAATGAAACGTGAATTACTGCAGCAACGGTCTGTACTTTTATGGTTGCATTTTTGGTGTACTTCACTCAGTGATCACAACAGCATGCAATTATCTCAGGTGACTGAGTTCTGTTTTGGTAACCTAATTCTCTTGTGCCTTTGAAGAACCAAACCTCGATTAGCTTAACCAAGAGCCAGGATCATCCCATTGAATAAATCAACGTTGAATGGATGGTGAATGGGGCTATGCATAAGGCCATATCTGAAAATGCTGGCAAACTTGTGTTTTGTGATTGGTGGCCTGTTATCCAACATAGGTTAAGTGCTCAGTTTCTTCATGTCTGACTTAAAACCCTGTGCACAATCATCGAGATTTTTTTCAACCTTTATGTTATAATTTATTCACTTAATTTACTATGACACAATACACCCTGTAAATTAAATCATAATCCAATGTGACTACAGTAATATATTATATTGAAAAGTAGCTGACCCTCAGGATGTGCTGCTAATGCTGACACACTGACATTTTCAAGTTATTGACAAGTTAACTAGTGACCTATAAGAGCAAAATCAGAGACCATTTAACTAGTTAAAGCCCCTGAAGTTTTTAAAGAGAGCAAAAGGTTGGGGGTCAGAGGGAGAGTTTACTGGATTATGGATTGTGAGCCACAAAAGAGCTTATGACTTGATCTTGGCTCAGTGCAGCTGAACTCTTTCTGCAAGTCCCAGCAAGTAGATCTCTGAGCACCGTTATTCTTTATTACCCAGGAAATTGGTACTGAATGCTAACACACAGACAAACACACACTGTTGCTCAGTTGTGCTAAACAAGCAGTGCAACATGCAAAACTGTATTTGTCACCCATCTTACCCATTTTCATCTACGTTTTGATCACTCTCAGGCTACATTTAATTCATTATTCCTTTTACATGATGCAAGCTAACCTAGACTTTACCCTTGGTGTCGGCCTTTAACATTTGACTCGATCTTTAGGACTCAATCTCTGTAGTTTATTCTGTGCAGTGTTATCTCTCACAGGCATGCCACCGAAACAACAAACGGTGTATTATCCTCGTTTTTCAACTTCCAGCTAACCAGCCAGCACAGGCAAGCCAAATTTTCCGGCTGTGCCCGGTTCCCGTTGTCATGGAGATGACGTCATGCTGCAGCACCGGGAGGAACGGCGCAGCCGCGGACGGAGGGAGGGGACGAGGAGCTTAAACCGCAGCCACAGCTCCTCCGCCATTCAGCCAGACTGCCGACTGATCCTGGAGGGCCAGGACTGTTCAATTGCAAATCCGGAGCCCACCGCAAGCTTCCCCCTGTTTCTCCAGCAGCAGCTCTCTGTGAGACACCCCACACCGCAGCGACAAAATGCGTGAGATTGTGCACCTGCAGGCCGGGCAGTGCGGGAACCAGATTGGAGCCAAGGTGAGAAAAACAAACGGATCCTTGTTGGCATGTCGTCTACCTGTTAACTGTAGTCGGTTTTATGTAACGAAACACAAGTTTATCCTTGCTGCTGCTGACGTGTATCCAAGCAAGAGGTCATGCTGCTCACAGGAAATACTAAATAGGTCAACATAGTGGGGTGGAAAGTCTTGAATAAGCGTACAAAAGCATCCCTCAGGATGGGCGGTGGCAAGTCGAGACGTCCCCATTATTGTCACTTGATGCACTTTTAAATGAACGACAGCACATAAACGGGGACCACGGGGTGTTATCGGTGTAACACAGCATGCTGGATGAAGCTTATCTGTGTGTGAGAATATATTGATTTAGGCTGACAAATCATTATTCGGGAATTTAATGAATGAACTGACAGCAATCGTGTGTGTGTGTGTGTGTTTGGGGGGGGGGACACACTGAGAGGGGTGTGGCTCAGACAGCGAATTGACAGGAACACCGGCAGACGTGCTGCCGTGCAATTTTTTTTTTCCACATATGCAATCATATTTAATTATAATAATAAGTAGCGCTTTAGGCTGATATTGTATTACCCATCTTTTAAACCTGTCCTTTAAAGGTGTCTGTGAACCAAAGATGTAAGATGGCTTGAGAAATGTATTACACAAGATTCTGAGGTTGGATTGATAAAAATACTAACAAGGATAATGATTTTAATTCTGATTTTTTTTTTCTAATTTTTCAATTCATTATTCCCAAATACCATCAGAACAGAGCAAAAGCAGCACACGTCACACCTTAGGAAATATTTACTCTTTAATATTTGCCCTTTGATTAAATTTGTTGTCAATCTTCTAAGCAATTAATCACGTGGTTGAGCTTCTATGGTTTAACAAGTACAGCAGGATATAAATAGCGTTGAATTTAGCTGTCGGCATTTGAATGTCTCGACACTGCCACAGCACGCATTTAACTGCTCTCTGGCTTGTCTGTCTCTAATCGACCTGTCTGCAGTTCTGGGAGGTGATCAGTGATGAGCATGGCATCGACCCAACAGGAACCTACCACGGAGACAGTGACCTGCAGCTGGATAGAATCAACGTCTACTACAATGAAGCTTCAGGTTGGAACTTTTGAAAGGCAGCTATTCACTGTATGTGTCGATCTTTGCTTTCGAATGGTCTATATTTGACCATTTTTAACACGTGACTTTGTATTGCAGGTGGAAAATATGTGCCGAGGGCCATCTTAGTAGATCTGGAACCAGGCACTATGGACTCTGTCCGCTCTGGGCCTTTCGGACAGATCTTCAGGCCAGACAACTTTGTCTTTGGTATGGGATAAACCACACAGACACACACAAAAACACACATAATTACATGCCTTATTGATTATACAGAATATAATGATAGCTGAAGTACTGGCTTTGACAAGTAAACAGTTTAAATAACAAACTTTGACATTTTGATAGCTAAATATACTTCTAGACAAACAAACCCTAGCTCAGCCGATCACAATGAACTTGTTCCTTCCAGGTCAGAGTGGAGCGGGTAATAACTGGGCGAAGGGCCACTACACGGAGGGAGCCGAGCTGGTGGACTCTGTTCTGGATGTGGTGAGGAAGGAGGCTGAGAGCTGCGACTGCCTTCAGGGCTTCCAGCTCACACACTCTCTGGGTGGCGGTACTGGCTCTGGTATGGGAACTCTGCTAATCAGCAAGATCCGTGAGGAGTATCCAGATCGTATCATGAACACCTTCAGTGTGGTGCCCTCTCCTAAGGTAGAGTGATTATGCAAACCATCTTTGCTGGCATCCGTTTGTCTCCCTTTGGTTTTCCTGATCTTTGCCTTTTCTGTCTCCAGGTGTCAGACACAGTGGTGGAGCCCTACAACGCCACACTGTCTGTCCACCAGCTGGTTGAAAACACAGACGAGACTTACTGCATTGACAACGAGGCCCTGTATGACATCTGCTTCCGCACCCTCAAGCTCACCACTCCCACTTACGGAGACCTTAACCACCTGGTCTCCGCCACCATGAGTGGGGTCACGACTTGCCTTCGTTTCCCCGGTCAGCTCAACGCTGACCTCCGCAAGCTGGCTGTCAACATGGTTCCCTTCCCTCGTCTGCACTTCTTCATGCCCGGCTTTGCTCCCCTCACCAGCAGGGGTAGCCAGCAGTACAGAGCCCTCTCTGTGCCCGAACTCACTCAGCAGATGTTCGATGCCAAGAACATGATGGCCGCCTGCGACCCACGCCACGGCCGCTACCTCACCGTGGCCGCTGTGTTCCGAGGGCGCATGTCCATGAAGGAGGTGGATGAGCAGATGCTGAATGTGCAGAATAAAAACAGCAGCTACTTCGTGGAGTGGATCCCCAACAACGTCAAGACAGCCGTGTGCGACATCCCGCCCCGTGGCCTCAAGATGGCCGCGACCTTTATCGGCAACAGCACTGCTATCCAGGAGCTGTTCAAACGCATCTCTGAGCAGTTCACGGCCATGTTCCGCCGCAAAGCCTTCCTCCACTGGTACACTGGCGAGGGTATGGATGAGATGGAGTTCACTGAAGCGGAGAGCAACATGAACGACTTGGTGTCCGAGTACCAGCAGTACCAGGATGCTACAGCCGAGGAGGGAGAGTTTGAGGAGGAGGGAGAGGAGGAGGTGGCCTAAGGCTGAAGTCACTCATTGTTTCTCATCTGCACTCATGACTCCATCCAACCATCCATCCGCTCATTCCGGTCCTACTCTGCTCTCTTTTTCTTTTCCTAGAGCACTGTCCTTTCCCAGTTTTCTTGTTCCTGTATTTTCTTAGTTCTTCCCGTTTCTGTCTGCCTCTTCTCCTCATATCTCTTGACCCCTGTCCCCCTTTCCTGCCAGAGTAGGACTCACACTTTAAACATGTAAACACAGTGCTCTTTTAGAGGTAGCTAACACAGATGTGTGCTTGTGGGTTATTTGTTAAATTGTTTTTATTTTGGAGGGTTTGTTTTGCTTAGTGTTTGTTAATTATCATCGGTTAAACAATTGCATACCTGGAACACATTCACTTCATTCAAATATTATGACTTGTGTAATTTGACATTGATTAAAATACATTTGTGGGAAAAATATCCATTTGTGTATTTACTTTTTTCTCTCACATTTGAAGTTGGTAAATGGCCTGTATTTGTATAGCGCTTTACATAGTCCCTAAGGACCCCAAAGCGCTTTACACACCCAGTCATCCACCCATTCTCACACACACACACACATTCACACAAGTTCACTCTGATACACTATTATTAAAATAATACTTCAGTCTGGAAGAGAAAGAACTTGATTTTAACTTTCAGCCTCGATGTCACAGGAAGTAAATCAAAATGGAGCCCTACAACAGATTTAGGCAGTGTGGCTGCAGCAACACAAGGAGGCAGTATGACATTTGTGAGTGTGGTTCTTGTCTGAGCAGGATGTGCATGTGTTATTGTCGCCTCACTACTTCAGTATTTTGTTATGGTGTTCAGTTCTAATTCCTGCTTATGTGAGCAGTATCATATTTAGCTTTCTATGTCGGCTATATGATTTATACTAAAGTGAAACCAGCACCTTTCAGTTCCTCAGTAAAGGCTGCCATTACGTTGGCACTCGGGGAAAGGTTTAATACAGAGTGATTTATCAACAGGTTCCTGGCAACTGTTCTAATGTTAAAGTAAAGACTTATCCATTTTAAAAACTTAAATATGCAAATTTCCCAAAGTTTTTTGTAAGTTCTTTACTTTTGCAGCTGCTAATGTGAATATGTGGTTTTTGTTAAAAGTCAAATTTGCATTTAAAATGCATGAAGAACAAAAAACATTAAAAGATAAAGGAATTTTAAGCCAAGTGTCTATAAATGGCCTGAATTTTGATAGGTGGTCTTATAGCAGACGTCATTCACACACGAAAACCACACATACTGACATAGATCAGGAAGTGTTCTGTCATTCCAGTGCTGATTGAGCAGGCTGCTGTTACTGTTGCAGTCTCTGTCACTGTTACATCAGAGGTATGGTTGTCAACTAGTACACCTGCTGAAGACCTCTCTCCTCTTGGATGCCACACATGGACACAGTCGCATTTGGACAGTATGGGCTCCAGACTGAAGTAAGTAATTATGTCATTTTTGTGTGTCGACTTCCATCACCATCAGTATGCCCGTCAGTCTGTTCTTGCGGTTTCTATTACTTCCTCTCGCAACTGCACAGGAAGTTTCCTGTAGCAGTTCTGTCGCCTTCTATCTGTTGCCATATGCTTCACGGTACATTTGTTCTTGTTCACAGCAAAGAGAAAAGTTCCTCTTTCGTTCACACATATGACTCGTTTGTATTACTTGGCTGTTGATTTGTTCTCAACATTACACCTGGTTTATTTTTGTTTATGCTCAGAATCTTCTTCGTTTTGAGAAAATTTATGCTAGACGTGGTGTCAATTCGAAGCACTGTCTCAACATGTATATGACTATATTTGGTGGTTAATGGGTTTTAAGAATAAATTTGTGTCATTGCTCTTAAATCTCTTTCCTGTCAGACAAAACCCTGAGCGAACCTTCTACTGGTTCTTTGAAGCAACTTGCCCTGTAGCCAGAGACAAAGGTGAGGCCTCTGTGGTTTATCATCTGTTGCAGAGCAACTTAGCTACGCAGAGTGATTTGTCAGCACTGGACAAGTTGATTAAAATTGCTCTTCCATTATTTTCTGTAACTGTATAAACCTACCTTTTGTCATTTTCCTACATGACACACAGCACCGATTTGAATTTCAAGCACTTGGCTTCAAAAATAAAAGATGATGTTTTTTATTTATGTATTATAAAATCATTAAAACGTCACCGCTAGTCTTTATAAAGGTGTTTCTGCTTGCACTGAGAATTGTTCATGCTTCCTGTCATGTGATCAAAAAAACCCACACAGCCTGTGTAGTCAAACATGAACTACATAGAAAGATGGTGTAGTGATCCCTCTGACTGAGCAGCTGAGCATGTGCAGAAGACCTTAAATGCTAAATAATGTTTAAAAAGCATTATATTTATACATTTGGAATCATTTGCCACTACTTTTACCTCATTATTTTCTTTATTTTCATCATAGTTATTTTCTAAACTTTTAAAAGGCTGCTACAAAATAACTTCTAAATACATTTTAAATGTAGAATTAGCATTAGTATTTGTCCACTCACTTATTTTAATGTTACAGATCCTGGACTGCTGTTTCAGTTTCCAGAAGACTTCAATGATGAGGTAGCTTGTGTTTTCCTGCCCTTGTGAACAAACGTAATAATATTTGTGCTTTAAATAAAAAAAATAGCCTTTGTTTTGTTTGTGGGGTTTTTTTTACACAAAGTGAGAACCAGTGTTTTAAGTTGTTCAATATGAAGCTTTACTTCTTGTTTCAGTTAAATTCCTGAAACATCAGCTTACTGACATTCTCATCTACAATAGGGGAACACCTTAAAATCATATCATAACATAACATTGTATGCGCTTGTTAACTTACTGGTCCTCTAAACTTCGATGGCATGCCCCCCTCCCCCACTCAGGCCTGAAAACAAGCACAAAAAAGGTTCATGCCCCACAATTTTTTTTTTTTAAATCTTTACAACAACAAAAGCACTTCCAAATTGAAATTTAATGAATTAAAGTGCTCCACTTGTGTGGCCAAGCTGTAGTTAGATTACTTTCTGCTATGCACCCTGACAGAGATCACAGTATGCATCTAGATTATTTGTCCTGTTTCAAAATTGTTTCCCACTTTCTAGGAGTCCTGTCAAACATTGCCCAGGTTCTGCTTCCCGTATGATATACAAAGGTGAGTAGAATAAACTTGTTGGTTTACTTCAGACTGCATTTCTGTATCATTTGTGTTTCATATGTTGTCTTCTCTCTACATTTGTCTACTCAGAGTGAGAGATGGGGTGGCTGTGCAGCACTTTACTTTTGTTCTAACTGACCTTGAGGGATGTCAACGCTTTGGCTTTTGCCGTCTCACCAACAGCACACATACCTGCCTTTGCATTCTAAGGTACATTTCAACATGTGTTAAAAATATTTTAACACCAATTCTATTTGCATTACTTTCATTTTCAGGATACCGTTGTTAAAAAGTGTTGTGGTTGTGTTATTTTTATCAATGTTATTACAGCTATCTTCCATGGTTTGAAGTGTTTTACAAACTACTCAACAACTTGGCTGACTATCTCTCAAAAGGGCAGGTAAGATTCTCATGTGTAATATTTATCTTCTCCCACTTGTCTCTTAACCGCAGTTAAACTGTTAATAAAAGATGGACAAAGCATTTGTTGGTTTGTAAGATCGTATATTGAGACTAATAGCTGAGCGTTTTGTCCATTTCCATTTTCCTACACAAGGATTTGACTGAGAAACCAAGGACAGTGAATACTCTTATGGTAGTAACTTGTCAACTACAACATAGTTACACGTAGCAAATATACTTGCTGTATTGTATTCGACTCTCACAGGATTCTTGAATAATTCTGTATCAAATAAAAGAATGCAGGTTTAAAGCAGTTCTACATTAGCTTCACATTTCCAAGCAAGAGGCTTCGTCCATCTGTGTCCATGTAGCATCTATTTCAGTATGCTTAACATGACCACTTCATCTCTTCAACAGACCAGTGAAATGAAAGTTCTTTTGGCATCACTCTACAACCAGCCCCTTCCACTGGCTGCTGGATCCGTCACCCTGCAGATGGTAAGTCTCTAATTAGCCAACAAGAACTTGGAGTCACACAAAACTATACTGCTGTTTTCTGTCAGTGGTTAGTGTGTTGTTGTTTTTTTCTGAGGGAGAGCAGGTTTTGGTCAGCACAGAAGTGTCCCATCCTGTTGGACACTCAGAGAGACAAAAGGGGGTGAGTCCCACAGGAGTTCATGTGGTCTGGAATCACAGCTTTGTAGATACAGACTAACTCCTGCTGGAAAACTACAGTTGTCTGTGCTTGGTGGCTACAGCTGCAGACTAAAACCTTGTGTTTAAACCAAAGCATGCACAACATGCACTAATATCTGGCATTCCTTATAGCCTTTGGAACAATTTGTTTATTAATCCAAAAGCCATAAACATGCCATTATGTTACTGACCCCAACAACTGTTTTGTCTTATAAGAAATGCCTCTGTGTGGCCGAAAGCTGTAACAGGTTTTATTTTATGAATGTTTGTGCTTTTTTGAGTTTCATTCCAAAATAAATTGGTTACCTGAAAAACACATTTACTCACCTTGTGCAATTCCTTTGCATTTGCAATGGAGAATATATTTAGAAAGTTTCAGTCCTGGTTGATGAGGAAACTCTTATGATTACAATGGAAAAAGCAGGTGTTACATTAGTAGCATTTTTTTATGTAGTTCTAAATGTTAGTTGAGTTAAGTCAATTTAAATACATTGCTTTTGCAGAAAAATGCTAATCTTAAAGAGCAACAAAATTAAGTTTAAATCTCATGAAGGATTTCAAGAGTTGAGATTTGAGTTGAGTCAGAGGCTGTATATAAAGGATGGACAAAAACACCGTGCTGTCGCAAACCAACAAACCATTGGTTTGTTGACTTCTGTTGTGAAACTTCAGGCTAATCATTTTTCATCAGTGTCCTAGTTTTTCAACAACACCCTATGAGAATCTCCACGCTTGTAAAATAGTGTCTTGTCAAATACTAGCCAAATGCCAAACCATATGCTGATTATTTTTATTATTATATTGGATTCCTAGGTGACTTTAGGATTTATATTTGATTATGATGCTTTGTATCAGCCTCAGATATGTATTTGCATTTATATGCTTAATCAGTGCTGTATGTGCCTGCTTTATGGGTGGTTGGGTTGGGGGAGGAGAGTTTTAAGGCTTGCTGTGTATACTTGATTATATTGCTTGTATCGTGCATCTCAGACATATACTTGTATCTTATAGCCTGTTAAATATTGTTTACTTGCCTAGGGACTGCAAGTGGAACATAGGTAGTAACTAAATATGGTAATGGCATGTGAGGTCAGTAAGTTTGTGCAAAGTTCCTGACAAATACAAAATGCAACTAAACCTAAAACTATTAAAGATGATGTGAAACTGGTGATTGTGGCCACAAACCTATTAGAAACATGTTCTCTGAGGTCATGCATTGAGTAAGTAACAGAATGACTTTCAAAAAGAATCCTACATAAATGATTTCATTTTGCAGCCAGATGTGCCATTGTCCGCTGCCCCCACCCTCCCCCCACTGGCTTCATTTTTAAGACCATGAAGCTACATCCATCTTTTATATACAGTCAGTGATTATTTTTTAGCTCACATAACTGTGTGTGCATGTGTAATTGATTGCTGTAGAGGGAATTTTGGAATGAAATACTAAATTATATGTCTATAACCTTTGATGTGTGCATATATGATGTGGAAGACACTAATCAGCATACTAAACCGTGTTGCTAAATGCAAAAACACTTCCCAAAAATTTCAGAGATATTATCTCAAGGATTACTGATAGTGTTGATAAAGTATGAGCAATGTTTTATTTCATATGTTTTGGCAGGTTCCATACTTCATCGCTCCAGACCCCAGAAGTCTCCCTTCCATACCTGAAAACGTAAGCATGGTTAGGTTAAAAATTTAAGGCTAAATTTTAAATTTCAACAAGCAGTGATGGATTATGTGAACACGCCTTTCCCCACTTCAAGCTAATATTTCTATCTGTTTCTTGTTTTATACACCAGAGGAACTTGACCGAGTTGATTGTGGCAGTAGACGTGGGGAACCTGCTTCAGCTGTATGCCAGTATGCTGTTTGAGAGACGCATCCTCATCTTTGCCAGCAAACTCAGCACTGTAAATTACACAATTCTCTTTTATCCATTGCTTTACTTTAAATGTATTTACATCAACTTTGTGGTATAAAAGAGAACTCCCATCCCCCTAACCCATCCATCCATGGTACATGACTAACATGAATTAATTTTCACACATCAAGCATAATGAAAAGTAACTAGGCCTTATCAGGTCTTAAAATGATATAATTACCAGCTCAGACGAACAAAAACACATGCCATATCCTCCAGAGAACCGAGGAAACAAAAGTATCTTTCAGTTGAACTGTTTTTGTCCACTACAGAGGACATGATGAGTAGGTCGGATCTCAAGAGGATATTAAATGCCAAAATGCAGAAGCAGCGTGTGTGAAAAACGAACTATACTCAGTGATTCAAGAGATTGTTTAACCACTTTTGTCAGCAATAACTTGAAGGAATTATTTTATGTATGACTTTGTCAGTCTCTCACATGATTGTGGAGGAGTTTTGGCCCAGACTTCTATACAACATTGCTTCAGTTAATTAAAATTTGTGCTGGAGTTTGATTGGGCCATGACAACACCTTCACTCTTTTATTTTTTATCCATTCTACTGCGCATGTACTGTTGTTCGGTTCCATAACCCAGTTTTGGCTAATTTTGTCCTCTCAGTGACTGCAAAGTTCCCATGCCCTGCAGCTGCAAAAAAGCTCTAATCATCAATTTTATCTCTGTGCTTGATAGTTGCTATAATGTGTTTGTGTTTGGGTTGGTATGCAGTGTTGTGGCCAAACATCTCCAGTTATGTCTACTCTGTCCAAAGGACATTGTTTCAGAAGTCTTGTGGTTTGTTTAGGTGCAGTTTTGCACTCATGCCGTCATGTTCTTTTTACAGAGGCGAGGCATTGTCCTGGCAACCCTTCCAAACAAGCCATACTTCAAATTGTTCTGCCATGAACTTAACATAACATGTTACCTGAGGCGTGTAAAGTCTTAGACCAGTTGTTGGGATTGTAGCATCGTCTTATCATGGAGTAAATTTTCTTTAACTCACGGGAAGACTGGGAGTTGTCTTAAGTGTTTTCCACTTGTGAATAATATTTTTCATTTCTCGTGTCTCATTGTTGAGTAATGGATGTCAAATTGTTTGGAAATGGCCACATAAGTCTCCCCAAGCTCATGGGCAGTAATAGCTGCCTCACTATGATCATTGATGATGTCTTATGTTTTTTGGCATTGTATTAATACACACTTAAATACTCCACTCCAACAAACTGCCCAAACTTCTGATTTTGTTGATGATGAAGCAACATCTGCAGGCTACTTAACCCTTAATTTAACAACATACGTAGTTTTTCACACAATGCTTCTACGTTTAAGCTTAGTTTGTTGTAAATAAATAATGGCAGGTCATGTTGCTTGTTGATGTTCATCAGGTTATGTTTAATGTTCTGATATGTTAAAGCTTAGGATGGAGAGGGGCTGTGCTTTCCCTTTATGATTGTACAACTATGTTTGGTCAGCTGCCATTAAAGTCAGTAGCAACACTAGTATCTGCTGAATCCATGTAACTGGAAGTCAGACGTAGAGCAGCTAGAACATGTTTGAATCTATAGTTTTGTAGTCATACCTTGACCACTATTTTTGGCATGTGTCAAACCACACAGGAAGATTTGTGTGCTAAAGCTTTTCTCCATTTTGTGCGTTTAGCTGACATCCTGTGTGCATGCACTCAGTGCTGTGCTATACCCCATGTACTGGCAACACATCTTCATACCTGTCCTGCCACCGCACTTACTGGACTACTGCTGGTGAGATTTGTCTGTTTACGTGTTTAACTGCCTACCTATCTATCTACAAATCTGCCTTCCTGCCCACAGCTGTTTAATTGATATTTGTTTTTTAATGGTCACAGTGCACCCATGCCTTACCTGATAGGAGTCCACAGCAGTCTATCTGAGGTAAACTGCTGACCTTATACTTCAATATAAAGCCACTGCTAAACTCAAATCCTCCAAATCTGTCAGATTTGTCTTGAGATATTGAAGCCTAATCTGTTACTGTCTGTCTGACAGAGGGTGAGGAGTCGTGGGTTGGAGGAAGTTGTTATTCTGAATGTGGATACTAACACCCTGGAAACCCCTTTTGATGACCATAAAAGGATACCTTCAGATGTGGTAATAAATAGTCTTAGTTTGTGTGATGATGCATAAGCTGCTTCTTTTGTTTCCACACTTTTTTATTTTAAGCAGGAAAGTGTGATTTCACTAACTATTTTCGCCCATTCACTGCAGCCCTACACGCTACTTTGATCTTCAACGTTCATAATCTTCAACTGGACCCATGTGAGAATAGCTTAGATGACTGTCTGGTAAACTTGATTTGCCTGCTACAAAATCTGACAATCAGGCAGCATCCTGGCTGAAATCAAACACTGGACTATTTCAGGGGTGTCAAACTCATTTTACATGGTGGACCGCATATAGCCTACTTTGATCTTAAGCGAGCTAGATCAATGAAACTCCCCTTTCTGTCAGTGTCAATTACATATTTAACTTTGTTTTTCCACGATGAAGAAAAAAAAGGAAATCTGTCAGCACGACTCTTCAGACTTAAAGTGAAAGAAATAAAATCACATTAAAAGTTCTGGTAGCTTATTGCCCAGACATTTTTGTTTTAAGCTGTAATCTTAAAAACTGAAATTTCTATACTAAAATCTGAAAAAGTGAAAAACAGAAACTTTTATGTTTTTCACAAAGTTACCGAGGTTTCATTAGGGACATAGCTAAGCATTTTACAATTTAGCATAATTTTGTAAGTTGAAATTTCTTCAGTACTGAATAGCAGAAATTAGGCTTTCATGTCAGCGGTTATATTTTTTGGGGGGGACTCAGTGGCCGACAACACTGTTCACAATGGTGAACTGTAATAAGCAAGCGAATAAAGCAGGAAACATCACTGTCAATTTTTTTATGGGAAACTGGTATCAAAGCACAGCGAGAGATAGATATAATTGCACACGTTTGATATCCCATCCAACTATTTTAAACATTTCTTAAGCGAACTAACTCACGTTATGTACTAAAGTAAGGACGGGCAGGTTTGGACAATTCCCCAGCATATTCTCTTGATTTCACCTCCCTTTTAGTGGTAAAAATGACAATAGAATATAATGATGCTACTTAGGGGACTGGTGTTATGATGAAAACTAGGCTCAAAACCTATAAAAAGGAAACAAGAGTCCTCTTAACACATTTGAAATAGTGTTTACATGTGAAGAACATGAGACAAATAAGACCACTAATAAACATAGTTTACTAGTTATGGTTTAAATACATTTAATTCACAGTCTACATTACAGTTGGACCAATCAGTGCTTTTTAGACTGCCTTGGGTACTGGAAAATCACAAAGTTTTATCTCTGAGCAGGGACATACTGGGCCCAGAAACTGTGCTAAAAGAACAAAATTTACACCATGCAAGATTGTCGAGTTGCTCAAATAGTTTTTAAGCCCCTGAGCGCATATATATTAATAAACATATTACAGATATAAATACAGATGCTGTATGTGTCCAGATGTCCGGATTGAAGATGTGTTTGAAGCGCCAAGCGGTGTCACCTGGATGTGGTGTTTCTCAGGCCTTCCTGAAGGCTCAGGCTCTGCTCTTTGGAGGCTACAGGGATGCACTGCAGCCTAATGAGGTCTGTCATACATGAAATACATATCGGTATTTATATATGTATTTAGAAAATCAATTTAGGCACTTTTATTTCCACATTTCCCAACATGTTTAATTTAAATTCTCTAAGTATTCTGCAGCTCTGCACATCTGTTATATCAGTATTTATTTTTAGGAGTAATTCTTCTTTTGTTGTTCATGGCCGTCTCTATGTGTTGCTTATTGCAGGAAGGAGAAATATGTTTCTGCGAAAACCTGTTTTCAGATCACAAATCTCCGAGTATGAAGCAGTTTCTTCAGAGTGCTGTTCATTTGCAGTGCTTCAAACAGGTAAACACTGCCCTCTGCTGTACACTTAATGCAATTGTAATAGTAGCTGAGCAGTGGTTGGACAGAGATTTAGAAAATGTTCGAGGTGATTGTATAACAGCCATTGATAGAGATGTGTAATTTGATAGATTGTGTTATGCTAAACAGATTACTATTTTTTAAAAAATAATAATAATCATTATTTTTTACATAATTAACAAAAAAGATTTTGAATTTGGCGTGAAGTCAGGCCAAGCATCTTCATGTCACTATAAATGAGTGAGCTGTTTTATTGATGCTGTATATTTGTTCGTTTTTTCAGTTCATCGATGCTCGTCTGGATATTCTGAATAATAAAAATGAACCAGATGATCTCTTTGAGGAGGAGATTATAAAGTGTGAATCCACAGCAGGTGTGTATCTGTATCTTTACCTGTGTGGTTGTGCATGTGTATGTGTATGTCCATTTTTTTCATTGCTTGCTTATGAAATTATTTCTTTATGTAGGAAGAGGTAAATCCTATCAACAGTTAGTTGGTAATTTAAAGGTAAGTTCACTTAATCTTCAAAGAAACACTAATGCATTTGGCATCATCTTGGCAAAAATTCTTGCATTTGTACTTTTGACAGAAAGGAGGAGGTGCTCTCATCCTCAACATGAAGTCCAAAGCAAACATGAGAGTGAGTACAGTGTTGAGGTGTTTTTTTTTTTTAAATTATTATTCTGAACTAATACTATGATTATGTTGCGCTGCTGTAGGTCTGCTACTAATCTGTTTATCTGCTTATCTCTTCTAGGCCAAAGTTCTTGCCAAGTCAGGTCTGAAAAACCTGCTGATACATAAGGTGAGCGCATGTTCATGTGGGCAAATGCTTTGATGGATAAAAATTATACTGTGTTTTTAATAAACTTTTGTTTTGTGTTTGATGCAGGTTAATGATGAAGAGCACACCCTTCAGAGAGGTGGATCGGTATCACACCGCCGTGCCCAATCTGACTGCCTGCAGAACCGCCTACCAATCACACAGCACTTCGGGAGGGTGAGATACCACAATTTAATCTCATGCACCAAACCCACATCTGAAAAAAAATAAAAATAAAAATATCACTCTTTTAAAATCTAGATATCTACACTCACTGGCTTTATTAGGTACACCTCATTGCATTTAGGCATGTAAAAGTGATCAAGATGACCAGCTGAAGTTTAAACCCAGGATGAGAATAGAAGAGGAAGATGGTTTAAGTGGCTTTATAGATGGCGTAGATTGGTGTCAGATGGGCACCGCAGTGTTTCAGAAACCACACAGCTGTCTGTCCAGTTTTAATGGTCTGACAAAGAGAAAATATTTAGAGAGTCACAATGCTCCACGTAAAAATTGCTTGTTGTTGTCACATCGCCACATTGCTTAAAGCTGAGAGGAGGGCAGCCATTATTCAAATAACCTTTTATTACACCCAAGGTATGCAGAAAAGCATGTCTGAAATAACAATACATTAAACATTAAAGCAGATTTAAAAAAAAAAAATCTTACAGCAGAACATGACCACACGGTATTATTCCTGTCAGTTAAGAACAGGAAACTGAGGCTACAATTTACAGACTCACCAAAATTGGGAAAGAGATGATTGGAAAGGCCTTGACTAATCTGATGAGTCTTCATTTCTACTGCAACATTTGGATGGTAAGGTCAGAATTGCGCATAAACACCATGAAGCATGGATCCATCCTGCCTTTTTTCAACAGTTCAGGCTAAAATTGCCTGCATAGTCACCAGATCTCAATCCAATAGAGGATCTCAGGGATGTAGTGAGATGGATTTCCAGCACTTGTGTGCAGCCAACAGATCTGCAGTAACTGCAGGATATTATCATGTCAATACAGACCAAATTCTCTGAGGAATGTTTACAGCACCTTGTTGAAGTTATGAAAGCAAAAAGGAGTCTAACCCAGTACTAGCAAGGTGAACCTAATAAAGTGGCCAGTCAAGGTATAATATAAATATAACCCTGTGACCTCATTTGCTTCTGTATTGTTTTATATTATTCTTATAACATCTGAATGGTTTTCTTGTGGAAAAATTGTATTACCAAACCTTTGCTTTGTTGTTCCATCATGTCAGTCACGTCCCCGTCGACCTGCTCATAAATCTAAGACTCCTAGAGACAAGGACATCATGAAAGACAGTGAAGATACATGGGATGGGTAAGCTGTGATGAAATATATTCACTCATCTACAGAGTGTTTTAGAATACACTGAGGCTGTTACAGCTTAAGCCAGCATTGTATTAACTGCCTAGCTGTACTAAATATAGCTGTACTTGTTCAGTTCAATTTATGTAGTGCAAATTCACAACAACAGTTGTCTCTTGGCACTTTATATTGTAAGGTAAAGAATCTACAATATTAATAAGAAACCCCAGCAAACACACAGCTCCTTGCCAAATGGCAATAGTGGGAAAGAAAAACTCCCTTTTAACAGGAAGAAACCTCCCAGGAAGTCAGGTAGGGGCAGCATAAAAGAAACACTATGAGAGAAAAAGACAGAGTGCAATAATTACCAATGATTAAATACAGTAGTCCTGTTTATAAAGGAGTAATTTAAAAAAAAAAAAAGTGAGTAAAAAAAGAAACGCTCAGTGTATCACAGGATGTCCCCCAGCAGCCTAATAAATAATCTGTGTGCTGTCTCCAAACTGGGAGCTGGTTCTGTAGAAGAGGGATAGCTGAAAGCTCTGCCTCCCAGTCTACTTTTGAAAAGTCTAGGAGAGACGGATGGGATGGAGTTCTCCACACAAGACCAGGATTTCTCCAGAATGTTTCCCAGTTATTTATGAAACACACACCATTTTTGGACACCACTGAGACAGTGAGAGGTTTAAGGAGAACATGACAGGAACACAAAGTAATAGAGTGAATGTACCATTCACCAACTGCTTTTCAGATTAGGGTTTAAAACAAAAACGGATAAAACCAGATCAAACAGGATTCAGACTCCTTCCCTTTTGCCAATTTTTTGACTTTAAATAAATAAAATGGAAATAGGGGTGGGCGGTATAAATGATATATGGTAGAAATGATATAAATTTGGCCAACGATAGAGATTTTGACTATATCGCTCTACCGCGATAGTGCATGTTGATGGTGTCATCAAGCTGCGCCTGTTTTGGTCAAAAGCATTGCAGCCGCTGCAAACAACATCATCTGCAAATTATGCCTGGCGGCAGTAATAGCAAAGAGACAAAGCACTTTTGGAATATGGGGAAAGCCAAAAACTGTGCTTCCTCCACTTCCCTACCATTGATTCATTACTGCTGAATTCTCTCGCAGCTGCTCTATTCCAATGTTGTTGCAGTATATTAATGACTAACCTCGTATTGTGCATGGATTATCTCAATTGTTCTCCTGACTGAAGTTTGGTCCGTTTATATCATCCTGCCATGCAATTGCATTTGTCCCTAACCATCAGAAACCCTCACGTTAACTTTTATCGAGTGGAAAAACATTAGCGGCCATCCGTCAGCTTCACTGTGCTAATGTTATGCTAACATAGCTGTTTTGCTAGCGATCACGTAGCACATCCATACCACCATACATACCAGCTAGTCCGACTTCAGTAAACCTACAAACATCACTGCTGTTTAGTTTTCTGTCTTCATTTATGTTGGAAGTGATAGCAGAGCTGTACGTTTGAATTTCTCCAGAAATCTCTCAGTCAGAACATGCTATATCATGTTTAGGTCGGAGCTAGCGAGCTAATGTCCTGCTAACTTCTAACTCCGTTAAATTTAATACATTCTGTTTTCATGGATGCCTGGATGTTAAACTTAATTGTTACACCTGGTAAAGCAGCAGCTGATCATTTGATTTAAGATGAAAGAATATAGACAGTTTTTAACTCTCAGTGATGCCGCAGTGTAGGGCCCAGATTACTCCGCGAGGCTGCTGACTACGGTAGCCGTAATACTCCAACAATCCATCAAGCGGTGCACCTTCATAGCTTACCAAAGTCGTACTAAAACGTTTTTGACAGATTTCTGCGCGCCGTGTACTACATAAAATCAGTTCACGGTCAGTAAGCACAACCAGAATTCTGACATAAGGCACACTGTCGATTTTTGAGAAAATTAAAGGATTTTAAGTGAACCTTATAGTGTGTAAAATACGTTATACAGAAGAAAAGAATATATCGCGATATATATCGTTACCACACATGCTTCAAATTATACCGTGATATGGATTTTAGGCCATATCACCCAGCCCTAAATGGAAATATCAAGTCCTTAAAGCTGTACTCTGCAAGTAAAAACAAGTGTATAAATAACTAAATATTATTACATTAACATTCAGACTTTTACAATCCACACATGTGTTTTGATGTGAATTGTATGTTTTAATTACATTTTAGATGTTTGTAAAACTCTAAGTTTAACATTCAATTTTACAGGTTAGGAAGGGTTTAGAAAGACATGTGGTTTATGGACAATCCATCAATTCACATAGTCAAAACCAAGCCTTCATATCTAAGCAACTCTCTGAAGACCTAAATAATAAACTGCGGAGAAGAGTTTATCAAACAGCATGTGGAAAGAAAACTGTGTAGAACTCCAAGAATATGTTAGAAGAGCATCGGGCACTAATTATCATTTGGATAATATACTGTATCTTTACAGTGGAGAATTTTTGTTCATACCGTTTTGTTTGTTACTATCATTTCAGAGCCATGTCTGGGTCCAGGACTGAGCCTGACTCTGAGCTCCAGAAGGATGAAGAAGAAGAAGATGAGGAGGAGGAAGATGCACTGCTGTGTGATGAAGAAGAGATGGATCTTCTTGGGGAGATCTTTGATACACTGAGCTCTCGTAGCTCCCATGACCGTGGCCTGCTGTACGGCACCCGCAGCCTGGATCTGTTTGGGCCAGACAGCCATGACTTTATCACACGGGTAAGAAAACGGGTACACGTGTCCCTAACACACACACAAGTGAATGCAATTTCTGATCTGTCTGTGTTTTCCAGCGTGTTCCAACCAATCCAAGCCAAGAGAGCTTGTCTCTGTCCATCAGTGGCAGTGGCAGCTTGCACAGCTGGAATCTGGAAACAACAGAGGAGTTATCAGACCTGACAGCAGACACTGACTGGCCATGCATGGACACTAGTGTACCAGAGGAGGAAGGGTTGGAGAATATGAATATGCAGTCAAAAAACAAAACAGAAGAGCCAAAAAATGGACAGAGGCAGGACGGAGAAAAACAGGAAGAAGTGACAGGAGCAATAAATGGGAATCAAGCAGAGGAAACTGATGATCAAAATAAGTTTAAGGAAGTAAAGTTAGAGGAAAATATAGAGAAACAAGATCCGGGAGAGGGTGTAAGTTTATGGGAGGACCCGGTTAATGAAATATGTGCCAAGAGCGATGAAGGCTTAAAAGAAAACAAAGAGGATGAGCAAAATCAGACAGAGGAGGTAATTGCAGAACCTGAGATGGAAAGAGAAACACATGAAAGTCCAAAAGCAAGAGAAGAAGAAAAAGAGAGCCAACTGGAGAAAAATGAGGTGGTAAGAGGATCTTTAAGCAAACTTATAAACCCAAATCCTAAACATCCCAACTCTGTTGAAGAAGAGCAAAATCAAGGGAAGGAGGCCGTTCCAGATACTACAGTCTCTCCTGGGCCTCAGATTCCTGCTGTTGACCCTAACCCTACATCAGTTCAAGAAAAAAAGATTGAAGTAGCTACAGAAAAACTGGAGCAAGAGGTGAAGCAGACCCCCTCTCCTCCTAAAGTGCTATCTGCTGCAGCACGCTTTCAGTCTCAAGGATCCACCCAAAGCTTCCAGGTAAAGTCCAGGGTTAAGGCCTTCACTGAACCTGGGAAACCTTGCACTGTGTTCAGAAACAGGGAGAATGCACAAATGCCATGTGACTCAAATACATCAGAAACAAACAACCGCACGGAGGAAGCTGAAGAGGAAGAACGACCTCCAGTCAAAGTGTCAGAACTGAAGAAGAGATTTGAAGCTTAAACAATGCTGGTTACATTCTAGTTTTTGTTACTTAAAATCCAATTAAATTGATACATTTGGTTTCTCTCTGCATTTCCCCTGCCTCTCCGTTACTCTTAATCCCAAGCCCATTTGGTTTTACTGAAAATATAAATTATGAAATAAAAGTCAACAATGTAGTGTTATTTAAAGGCTGACCTCTGTAAATTGTAGCAAATGTTACTCAAATGAGGGTGAATGTTGCACTTGGGGATAAGTTTCAGATGAACATTTTGTGCATTAGTATTTATGAATATAACAAGCTGCAGTGTATACAAACACAAAGTAATGAAAAAAAGAACAATGTTCCCATTTTAAGTAGTTTTGGACTTTTTAAAGGCCGTCTCTCTACAATAACAAAAACAATACTGCCACACTCTTACAAACTGGCTGTTTTCTTAGTATGTAAACACATTTTATTGCTTGTATATTTTATACTTGGTGAAATGGTTAATTACTTAGAATTAAGACAGCATGGCTGAAATAAATAAGAAGAAAGTAAGAAAAATGCATGAAAAATGTTTTTCCTGTTGCCTGCTGGGATTTGTGTGGAAAAGGCATGCTATCCATCAGATTCTTTAATAAAAACTGACGCATTCTGGGTATTTACATTTTGCGACCATTTCACTTACGATCTGAATAACCTGAACTTGAATAAAATAAATACTTTAAAAACTGCTTCAACGCTCCAAGACGATGGGCAACAAGCAGGAATACTTGGTGTGCACATTGCAGTTTATTTACATAACACCTTGTGAAACATGCATTTTGATTTGTTTTAGATTAAGTTGAGCTTTTCCTAAGTTATATGAAAGTGCATCACAGTCAATCTTTTAAATCAATATTTCTTATAAATGCAAAAAACGTGTAAAAATATACATTTTTATATATAAATACACAGAACAGGCCGCACAGAAAAAATACTAACCTGCGTACAAATACAAAGTGTTGTTTAACTCATGTTCCTTGCTCATGTGGTGGAATAAAAGGGAGTGACTTGTTTACATTGCAATGCACAAACCTCTCTCTTCTCTTCGTGCAGTGAAACAAATGATAGAATAAATTTAGAGGTCTGATCAGTCTTTTGTTGTCACTGGCTATTAGAAGCTGCAGCACAAATAGTGTTTAGTTTACTTACAAACTGCTGCTGCAAAACATGATGATCTCTAAGCACAGGATCACAGGAAGCTATCAGTTATAAGTTCATAGCCTTACAAAGTGACAAAGTATGTGAGGACTCATATCAGACGTTCTTCTTTGGGCAATGGTAGGGGCAAGCCAGGTTTTTCACAACCCGCTGACCTTGACTGTTTCTTCTCCACCGCACTGGGCTTGTATGTTCCCTCCATGCTTCTTTTTTTCCTAATGACGCAAAGTAGCAACAGCGTAGTCAAGCTGAGCAGGGACAGCACGGTGGAGACAAACACTGGCACCATGGGTGAGATCGACACCTCCGTGGCCATGCTGAGGAGAGAAATCACAAACTTTTAAAGTCATCAATACGTAATTTATAACATCAACATGAAAGAAGTTGTTACAACCTCTAAGGGTCAGTTGTTCCAACAAGTGTTTCACATTTGCGCACTGGAGGGCAGTTACCTCAGTTACTGAATTCAGGCACCCTAGTGGGGATGCACAACAGGTTTTTTTTGTTTGTTTTTTGTTTCTTTAACCAGAAACAAACAAAAGTGAAAATCTTAATTTAGACTGTATGATTAATGATCAGCTGAGAGGAAAACCGCATATTGGGTCAGTTGAAAAATAAGTTGAGAGTGTTTAAAATGAGCTCACCTCCCAGTAGAGTAGAAAGGATCATTCAGGTCTGCAGGATCTGTTCTTACATTTGCACCATGTAACTGTGGAGCATTAAAAAATTATATATATCATTCAGCCGTAACATTAAAGACACCTCCTTAATACTGTGTCTTTTGGGTCATGTGTCCTGTGCACCAGGACATTGGAGAGTGCTTGATCTGTGCCAATGCTTTGGTGGATGCTATAAGTAAACATAACATTTACATAAGTGCCAGGACCCAAGGCCTTCCCAGCTGTGCCCCACACTGCAAAGACATTATTGTTCCACTTTACACATCAGGACTTTTACTGTTGTGGCAGATCAGATACATTTAAAACATATATGTAAAATAGAAGAGACTGTCATGTTTAACACTTTGTATTTACGAGTTTGTGATCACAAGTCATTATTTGCCTGAAAAACAAATTGTAAGAAGGGTTTAAACTGTTTACAAAAAAATCCCAAGCTGCAGCACATCCATCCAACCTGCTGAATGCCTGAATCCAATTCAAGGTAGCTGGAGTGCTGGAGCCTATCCCAGCTACCATAGGGTGAGAGGCAGAGTACACCCTGGACAGGTCACTAATCTGTCGCAGGGCTAACACAAGACAAAATCATCCACACTCACATTCACACTTACAGGCAATGTAAAATCATCAGTGAACCTAACTGCATGTCTTTAGATTGTGGGAGGAAAGAGAGAGATACTTAGTCTCAAATTTACTTCAATTTAAAACACCGCAGCCAGAAAACCTGTGTGACATGACAGGCACATACCTTTCAAGGAAATCTTCCTCTTTCATTCCATAACCACTTGGAATACCAAAAGAAAGAGCTTATCACAAAGTGTTGGATGAGCTCATGTTTGCGATTATATTTTCATGGCAAGAATCGCATGATTTTGAAATACTAATAAACTAATCAAGAAAAAAAAACATACACTAAAGCATTGCTGTTTAACCAATTTAGTCTAATACAAAACTACTTGATCAACTTGAGGTATAATTATGACATACAGACACACACCAAAATGTGTGGTTTACAAGCCAAAACCCCCCCACAAACTTCATGTTACAGGAATGCCATTGTACTGACTTCCACTACATTCCTTGGGAGTGTATTATTACCACTATGCAAACAAGGACCTCAGCCACTGAAAGTTAGCAGAAAGGGAAGCAATTTAGATTTGCTTTTTCTTCCCAGAATACTGTGCAACCAGCTTATTAATTTAGAGTGCTATTCTACTAACAATACTGTGTTAGTAGTGGCCAATATTAACAACAGGAACTGAATTTTTTATTGCGCTTTCATTGTTTCCAGGTTCTCAAATGTGAGGAATGTTTGCCTTCTTTGGTTTTGTTACGTGATAATAAACCTATTATTCGGAATATAAAAATAGGTCAAATTGGGCCTAACCTAGTTCTCACTCGCACTTTTAAAGCATCAATGAGCAAATCCAGTGTATGGACTTTGCTGTAATTGGATCTATGGCCCTCATAGAAAATCCTTAATCATACCAGACTGGGACACTAGGCTACAAAAAACTATTCTAAAAAAAAATCCGTGGAAGATTAAGCATTACACACTGAAAAGGTAGTTAAGAAAATGTCCCGAACTCACCATAAATGTCCATATATGTATAGACAGGAGATGCCGAACAACTCCCAATCTTAAACCTCAGTCTGCAAAGTGTAAAAAGTCTGCTCCCCATAAACCACTTAGACCAACAGACACTGACACACCCACCAAAGTTATGTCTCTGCCCAGGGCGGTATGTCACAGATCCCGAAACACCTGTTTAACCGGTGTCCTTCCGGCTCAGGTGAGTCCGCTGTTGCTCTGAACTGTGACAGGTGAAACCGCTTACAGCCAAAGGAATGAAGGAGCGCGTGCAGCCTCACGAGGAAGCTCAGACCGTTGGGGTTACAGCTGCGTTCATAGGCCAAGGATGAAATTTGGTATTTACCTGCCGGTTAATGGGTATCCAGGTGAGACGATCAACGTTGTAGTGGCACCCTGTTCAAAGTAACACGCTCCCGGAAACCGAGAATGCTCATAGTCTGAGAGACAGATGTCGACGTGTTCGAAGCATACTGAAAGTATTCTGCCCCACTCACCTGTCGTATTCAAATGAGCCTGGTCACATGTCCTCTCTGCACCAATCAGAAACACACTCCCCCTTTTTTTTGCTTTTTTCCCCTCAGGACCTCAACAGAACCTGGAAAAACTAGTCCATGCATTCATCTTTAGTAGGCTTTGTAATGTTCTTATTCCTCTATGAATAAAACATCAAGAATTGCTCCTGGTGCTAGCTTCAGCTAGCTGTTTATTATTCTTTCTACCACGATCACTTTCTTCTTCTACTCTGTATATGTCATTGATTACAGAGCGCCCCCTGTGGGTAGCTTCAACAATAGCAACTATCATTACATCCCCTTTCCAAACAGGTTGGTGTTATACTAACCACAATTCCAAAGAGAACTGTTACTCTGTAACATCTGAACATTCTTGTCTAACATTCAACATGTTATAAATTGTGCAACAAGCTACATTCAGTAGTATTCTTTTTTTTTTTTTATAACCAAAAATTGTAGCACAAGTCAAACAAAATAAATCCAAATGTATACCTTACATCTTCCAGAATGAACCAAATGAATCCCATACAGCCCTCAAGCACATTAGAACTCTTCACCTTTGACAGCTTGAACAGTCAATAACACATAACTCAGCAGGTATCAATTAAGTGTGAACAATTACTATTCTAAATGAATTATTATCCGTTGTTTACTTGTGATTTATTATTATTATTTTTTAACAATTCTTTACCACAACAGTTCACACTTGTTCTATGAGCCTCTCTGTAGGTTTCTTAGGTCTGGTAGACCTTCTCAGTATCTCAGACATTGGGGAAGGTGAAGGAGGCTCACTGTGGTGCTCAACAGGGTTAGCACCTCGTTGTTCAGTTCCAGTCTCTGTGTCCTGATGTTTAACATCCTGTGTCTTTAATAGACTTCTCCGGTTTCTTCTTAACACTTGTCCATTCTCTGTCTGAACAGCAAACGATCTGGGCCCTACTTCGCTGAGAACTGTTGCTTTTTTGTCCCAGAAATCTGGACCTGCAATCCTCACATCTCTTTCCTGAAGAGGTTCCAAACGCCTTGCAGTTTTGTCATAGTTCATTTTCTGTCTGTGCTTGAGTTTCATCCTTTTGTCGGTCAGCTTGTTGTCATGTGCATTGTCATTTTCCTTGGAAATGTGTGGAAGTGTGGTGCGGAGCTTGCGATGCATGAGTAGCTCAGCAGGTGATGCCCCACACTCCAGTGATGAAGCTCTGTAGCTTAGCAGAGCCAGGTAAGGGTCGGTCTTACTGTCTCTTGCTTTTTTGAACAATCTCTTTACTATTTGGACTCCTTTTTCTGCCTGTCCATTCGCTTGGGGATACAAGGGACTAGAGGTGACATGTTGAAATCCATATTGTTTTGCAAAGTCACTAAATTCTCTACAGTCATATTGTGGACCATTGTCACTGATGACACACTGTGGAATTCCATGTCTGGCAAAAAAACCCTTCATGTGTGTGATGACTGACTGTGCTGATGTACTGGAAAGCTGTGCCACTTCTGGATAATTAGAATAGTAGTCAATCACCAAAACATAGTCCTTGCCATCCAGATGAAATAAATCCGTGCCTACCTTTTGCCATGGTGCAGTGGGTAGGTCTGCTGCCAGCATTGGCTCTTTTGTTTGTTTGTAGTGATGTTTGAGACATGTTTCACATTTCTGTATCATCTCTTCAATATCCCTGTTGATGCCT